TGTATGCAGTGATGGATGAAAGGGAGAGACAAAGCAAAGAAACATATGAGAGGTTAACAATCGACTAGTATATATATATAAGTGAATATGTATGTCATGTGATCTTATAAATAGCTATTGATATATGTAAACCTGTGGTATGTATATATAAACCTATATGTATGTTATACAATTTTTTTGGATTCATACATAAATATATATGAATCGGTGTACAAATACGTGTGCATGTGAATATATATATAGATATATGCAAATCTATATGTATATAAATGTGTGTATGTGTGGATAAATGTGTGTATGTATAACTATGTGTTGTGTATTTGTGTATTTGTGTACATGTATATAAAATCTATTGAGTGGAAATGAGGCTTTAAATTTACCGAAAAAGGGAAGTAGATTAATTAAGTAATAGAATTATAATGAGAATAAAAGTCAAGGGAAATTTAGGCAAGGGAATAAGTATGTGAAACCAAATAAAATTTTCTTATTGAATAATAATTAGAGTTTTATGAATAGTAATGAATTGAGGAGTTCTGATTATTATATAATTAAGGAAACAATCGCAGGAAGAAGTAAACCGAGTCAGGAAAGATGAAGAGCATAGGTGAAATAATGAATAAAACTAAAAAAATGAAATAGACTTATAAGAAAAGTTTAACTAAGTAAAATTAAACCATCTTATAGAAATAGTAAATAATTAAAGGAATCATTCTTAAATGAAAGAAAATAAGACAATAATAAAAATTTGAATAGTGTTAATACGGAGACTGAACCTATATTCTCGAAGTTTGATTTTTCTATAGTTTAAAAAAAATAACATCCTCATATTTCCTTACACGTATTTTTTCATTTAGTAAACTTTATTTTTTTTTTACTTAAAATATATAAAATTCATATAGATGATTAGTGGAGCTATATACCATAGGAAAGTATGTATGTTTGTATGTACGAATGTATATAGTTAAGGATTTGTGTATACGTAATTGCATGTCTATGTTTGTAGAATTAAATATGTGGATGTGGTTATATGTGTGCATATATGATTACGTGTGAATGGTTGGGTATGAGTTGTATGTGGTTTGTGTTTGCATATGTGTAAGCAAATGAATGAATCATATATATATACATATATATATACGCTGTGTATGCACGTTGTGCCTCCATGTGTATATGCCTGCATATCGGTATGTATATGTATGTGCGATATAGGTTTAAATAAACTGCATATATTTAATATAAATGCACAATTTGTGTATCACTATGAGTATGCATATGTATGAATGATGCTTAAGCATGTGTGTCTAGTATACAAGTGTGCAACAAAGTCTAAGCATGCGACAAATAGTAAAAAAAAAAAAGACATGAATAACATTAAATTTTATAGAATCATTTTTATTAAAAATCACCGTTGCTCCTAAGTAAATTCCCATAGATAAAAGAAAATACTTTTAGGACTCATTCTCACAACAAACCATTTTAACAAGACAAATTTTCCAAGCATATATTACCATAGTAGTGCAACGGAAGCATGATGAACTATAACCACCACACCTTGAAGACTTTTTCTTTTGAACCAATAAGGAGAGATTAAGGATATGATAAACACGTGACTCGTAACTTAAGATCATACTAGAGAGTGACCACTTGAAAATTTTAGGAACTCAAAATGTACCTCCAAGAATTAGAACCAAGCATAACGACTTGTGACAAAACTAAATAAGGAACCTTTTATCAAAAGAACTCCCAATAATTTTCAGAAACAATTATGGATCTCATAATTCATTGTGTATAATATAGAGGACTTTAAGAAAAATCTAATCAAACACTAGAATAACTTAGGAATCATCTAAGCTTCGATGGATTTAGAATAGCACTATGACTCAACTAAGAGTAAATTACATAGATACCAAGTCACTCGAGTAAAAGAGGAGAGGTTCGAGTACTAAAACATCGCTTTTAAATTTTTGAAATAATATTCGGGTGTTAAAAAAAATTTTACAATCAATGGATTTTTATGGATGAGTATGGGAGCAAAAAAAAATTGTTGTTTAGAATTCTAAGCCATTGGAAAGATGTGTATGTTATTTTGGGGATAATTAAGTAGTATATCAATTAGAGGTTATGGAGAATATTTTCAGAATATCCACGTATCAATTTCTGAAAGTCAGAAAATAAATAGTTATTATTTAGGCATATGAACATTGGGAATGATGTGAACATAACACAGTATTGAGATTAGCTAGGTAATTAAGAGCTTAATCTTGTGGTGAATTGAGAGTGTGGTGTATATTGCTTAAAGACTCTTCATGATGATAATCAAACAAATATATAATGCTCTAAACATGGTTAGATAATGATAACAATTGTATAAGCTATTGCTTGGGGATATTCAACTCTAATGAGTTTTGGGATTCAACATAATACAAAAAAGTAGTCTCTCTTGAAAATATAATAAATTTTAAGAGGTCTATGGTAAAATAACCTCAAACCCTTTTAGGTTTTAAAATCTTTGATATTAGAAGACAAGTTCTTAGTAAAAATACATTTACTTTTGGGATGAAGTCGGAGAAAAGAATGTAACTGGCCTAGATTTAGTAGAAATAACTACCGCAAAATATATATATATATATAGATATACATAGGCGGTCGTGTGTTTCTAAAAGTACTACGAATAAAAGGCCTCCCGAAATTCGGAAAGAAAAAGAAACTACGTCATCGATCCATTGGGCCTTTCGAAGTACTAAAGCGAATTGATATAATTGTCTACAAGATAGCAGTACCATCGGAGTTGTCATGCACAATGTCTTTCATTTATTAATACCACGTAAGCGTCATCGTGACCTCATCCATATCCTACAAAATGAATCACTCCCACTAAAAAAGGATTTAACATATAAAGAAGTACCCATATACATATTGGATCGAAAGGAGAAAACACTGAGAAACAAGTAATACCATTGGGTAAGATCCTATGGCAACATCAACCTCAAGAGGAGACAACATGGGAGCTTAAGGAGACAATAAGGGTGAAGTATCCTAAATTATCTGAGAAGGTCTAGCAATTTGGGGACAAAATTTATTTTAAGGGGGAAAGATTCTAACAACAAAAAAAGGAAATAAAAAAAGAGGAAATAAAAAAAATTAAAATAAAAATAGAACAGAAAAATAAAGAAAACCCTAAGGAGCAGAAGAAAGGGGCAGAGAATAAAAAAGGAAGAAGAAAAAAAAAAGAAAAAGAGGAGAGTGGCGTTGGCACGCAGAAAGGAGGGCCACAAAACGCCGTCACTCGCTGGACGTTCGGAGGTAAGATTGGCGTAGTGCCGACCACCGATCCCCCGTTTTGTGTTCATGTATATATATATTTGTAGATGTATATATATATATAAATGTA